CCGGTGTCAACGTCCCCCCCCCACGGCCCCTGGCTGCTGCCAGGGGCTGGGGACCGCCCTGGCCCGGGGTAGAAGACGTCGTCCCCGGGACCCTCCAGGTCCCCCTCATCCAGCGCCTTGGGGCGCTTTGGGCCGCTGCGGGGACAGGTGTGTCACCTCCAGGGATGGGGGCATCACCCCCCCACCCCCCCAAGCAGTGTCACCCACCAAGAAGTGGAGCACCACCCCACACTGGGGACACAGGGATGTATGGGACTCCTGGAGGGTGCCCAGCTTGGGGGGGTATAGGGTATCCCAGGGGCTTATGGGCATCCCAGGGAGTTATGGGGGTCCCAGGGAGTTATGGGGGTCCTGGGGGTGTCCCAGGGGGGTTATTGGGGTGGTTAGGGAGGGTTCCAGGTGGGCCAAGTGGGGTTATTGGAGGATCCCGGGTGGGGGGGAAGGGGGTTACGGGGGTCCCAAGGGTTATGGGGGATCCCGTGGGGTTACAGGGGGTCCCAGGGTACCGGGCAGCTGGGGGGCCCAGGGGCCGGCGGCCGAGGGCGACGGGGCTGATGTTGTAGTAGCCCCCCGGGCTCTCCAGGTCGGCCAGCGAGAAGTTGGGGCCCGATGCTGTCGCCACAGGGGCTGGGGGACACAGGGGACTTGGAGGACCCACACAGGACCTCCCCCCCACCCCGAGCCACCCTCATGTCCTCCATGTCTCCATGTCCCACACCTCCACCTCCCCCCATTCCCACAACATGCTTGTGTTCCCTTGTTCCCCACATCCCATCCGTCCCCCTGCCCCTGTCCCCCTCATGTCCCCGCCATGTCCTCACCCCCCCCATGTCCCCACTTACTCTGGGACACCCTCACCAGCTCCGTCACGTTCCAGACACCCGACGTCACAAAGCAGTCCTGGAAGGTCAGGTGCCCTGGGGAGATGGGACATGGGGGACATGGGGGGACACCGCACCAGGGGGGCACAGGGACTGGGGACACGAGCACACAGGGCCAGGTCACCATGGGGACAGAGGGCACTGGGGGGCACTGGGAGCACGAGAGGGCTGCAGGGGGTGGCACTGGGAGGGCCCAGCGGGCCGTGGGGGTGGTGCTGGAGGCACCAGGGGCTCACCGTTGGGCAGTGGTTTGATGTCCGCGTCTCCCTGGGGGTTTGAACTGTCGGATTGTCCGGAGTCTGCAGGAGACATGGGGTCAGACCCGGACGCCGGGGTCCCCCCGGACGCTGGGGTCCCCGTCCCGCCCTCGGGGAGGGGCAGCCCCAGACGCCTGGGTCTCAGCACTGAAGGGCCCCTTGTTCCCACAGGGTCGTTCGAGGTGAAAGTCCGCCGGGACCTCAGCTGTGCCCGGGCAGCGCCCGCAGCCCCCGTCCTCCGTGGGACCCAGGCGTCCGGGTGCCCCCCGCCCCATACAGGACCCAGGCGTCCGGGTGC